AGGAGTTAGGAAGTGTTAGGTTAGGAAGTGTTAGGTTAGGAAGTGTTAGTTTAGGAAGTGTTAGGTTAGTAGTGAGTGAAGTAAAGGAAATCCAGATCATTAAACTCTTAAACTGACTGACTGTAAACTAAAGCAACATAGGATCAAGCATGTAGTTTAAGTCATCACTGAACAGAGACCAGATCTTAGAATATCTATGAAACATCATGGATAACGTAGAAGAAAGAAGTTTAAGTAGAAGGTTTGAATAATTATTCTGGGTTCTCAGAAAAATAAGAACATTGAAATTCCTTGGATTCTTGTGGAATTTTAGAATAAAATAATTTTTAAAAAAGTTGAACAAAACGGCAGATCTTGTCACTGCAGTTTAAAAGAGTAAATATTAACTTAAGATCTATCAAATCTAGGATTGTCTCCTTGCCAAGTATATTTTCTATTAAAGAACCTAAACGCGCAATCTAACCTGTAAGCCTAACCAGATAATATATTTATAAATTTGACAACTTAGCCATATGTGACTCCACTAAAACGACTCGTTTCGGCAGAGGATAATATTCTTCTGCTGGGAGGCCTCCCACACGTCGGGCTACATACCACAGAAGGGTACATCATTCTTTACTAGGAAATTAACTTGGCAGAGAGACAAGCCAGACCTGACAGTCTAAACTGTAACTGACATTAAAGACAATTTAGTCTTAAATTATGTTTAACATTTTAAAAACATCTATGGGCTGAATGTGATTTAAATCCAACACATTAAATAGTTAAATAACTACAATCTATACACCAGAGAAACATGTAGTTAAGGTGATCACAGAAAATATACAACCAAGCACATGTTAAAATGGAAACTGGAGACTGACAGCAGTGGTGACGGGGGCCTGGGTCCTGGTGGGGGGCAGTTCTTAAACATAAATAAGTCCTGTTAGTTTCTACACAACAACAGATGTAACTTAGTAAAAACTTTAGTCAATCAGTAGGAAGGATGGAAAAGCTCGTGCTCTTCATGGGGAATTTCTTTACATTTTCACTTTAGTTGTCCTGTGTGTGCCATGCTTGACAAGGTGTAGTTCAACATCTGCAAACAGAGGACAAGGTTAGGAGAAAAAAAAAAAAATTTACTGGGTAGGCCATTTTATTTATATTTGGTCACATGATAATGGGATTTTGTGTTGGAATAATTAAAA